GGGCTGCCAGGAAGCAAGTCCAACAGCTATTCCACCCCAGGTCTGCTGCGTACCCAGGGGTGGTGGGACCAGCCACACATGCCATGGCATGGGTCAAGCAGGGACAAGGGGCCTGCCACAGGCTGGACAAAATCCCTTGGTGGGCTGGATCTGGTTTGTGGGCCATATTTTGCCCACCTCTGGTCTATACCAAGAGAAAGAGGAGGGAAAAAACCAAAATGCTTATCAATTATGCTTACTTTTTCAAGGCATTTTACAGACACTAAGTCATTGGCAAACCAAAAAAAAATCTTGACATTTCCATCAACCAAAAAGGTTATCAGAATAGGCCTTTGTTTTGTTAAGAAAAAATATTTATACTTCTGGGGCATTTTATTTGTGGGCAGTCTTCTCAAATTTCATGGTACCTGACTAGAAAATGTTTGAAAAAAATCAGTGTACTAGGGTTTCTCTTATATAGAATTTGATAAACCAACTGCTTATTATATTCCTTTTGCAGTATAATTTGGGTCACACTAGTCAGTTTCCCAGTTGCCTTTAATCCTGACCATGTGGTTTGCCTACCTCTTACCTGTATAGGATATCCTTATAGCAGTAACATCAATGTCAGAAAACTTAAAATGTCTGGTCTGAAGAAACTTAAATGCGGCAGCACTAAGATCCTCAGTAGTCAGTTTTTGGAGGACCTTTCGTGCATATGGTCCTGCTACACCAAGTACTCCCATCTCATCTGTAATATTTTTAATTTCAACATTGTATCCACCTGCCTTTGACTCCTCTTCTATCCACCTACAAGAGAAGAACAACAATTGAATTAACCTTTTTTATTCCTGATATATACACACACACATATTATATATATAGTGATCAATACAATAATGCTAATTGCTATTAAAATTATTTGTTATTGTTATACATTTAATTGCTATTAAAATTATTTAATTAAAATTATTTGTTATTGTTATACATAGAGCCCCAGTCAAGGATCAGAGTATCTCATTGTGCTAGCTGCCGAACCCACAAGGTAGTGAAATCTTTATCCCAAAGAGTTTACTATTTAAGTATCCAATAACTCTAGAAAAGACCAGTGATCTAGAAGTTGTAGATATCAAGGATCCACCAGGTGTACAGAACAAAGCTTTAATCTAGCAATTACTGATTATTTATTTATTTACTATTAATCGTGAGGCCAAATATTTAGGACTTGTTCTGTGGGGAGCAGCTTCATATCAGTCTGACTGACTCTGAGGTCAATCAGGACAGCATATGTAAGAGATCAGAGTGGTTGCTCAGGCATTTCTCAAACAAACTGTGGAAATGTAGAAGAAAATAGTGTGCTTAAGCAAACAGTAAGGTATCTGGGGGTCACTGGCAGACATAGTCATTGTAACATACACTTGGAGTGGTTTCATAAGCCTTCTTAGAAAGTCTTCAGGAATAGCTGGGGGACCATACAAGGCTCTTAATTTTTTCATCAATAAGTATGTTGGGGCTGGTTGTACTCAACTTCAGTACCTAAATGTGAAAGCATTCTCACTGATTCCAGTTGAGCTGCTTACACAAAAAGACACTATTCACTTTGAAGGCATCAAATTGAAGTGCTCCATTCTTTAACTATTTTTAGGGATTAATTTTCAGTGAATTGCACATTTGCTTTCCCAGCAGAGATCCCTCTTTTGTTTTGTGTGTTTAGCCAGAATTAATGCAACTGACTTTGTTTGTAATGCACATATTGAAAGAATCAGTTTAATACACTCTTGCAATGTATTTCGGCCATTTTTTCTCCTGGAATGTTCTTTCTTTCTTTCAGTACCAAGGACGCATACAGCACTGCCCTAATATCAAGAAGACAGAACTAGTGGTATCGGAATCTGAACAAATGAACAAGTAGCACCAGTAGTATTGGCCTTAAAGGGTCACTAATTCTTTGTGCCATTTTATTTATTGTACAAGACAAAATACTCAAAAGAATAACCCCATTGTCTGTCAACATACAATTCAGAACAAGGCAACCAAAACAAACAGGAAATCAACATCTACTTATATTAAATAGTACAGGATTGCTGGACAGTTAGCTATACCTCTACTTTAATTCCCCTATACAACTGCTTATATTTCAGGGTTCAACTGAACTAAAAAGAGTAAAATGCAGACCCCTATGATATCAAAGATTGCACCTATAGTGTATGAAGAAAAAAACAAAGTACAGTAAGGTGTAAGTAGCTAGAGACTTAGCATGGAAAGCAACTGTCCATCTGCCCTATAGGATATGAAAACTAACCGGAGGGAGGGGTAAATAGCTGCAGTTTAGCGTTCATTTACCATGAGAGAAGAGCAAGTAGACAGGTGCTATGGAGCAGCTGCCCCATTTTAATTCTTAACTTTGTTTATTTGTCCACATGCTGTAGCTACTTATTTACTTTGGCTCAAGTACTAGTGTCCTTAGAAAGGCTGGACTCATATGAACTTCAAGGTTTTGCCTGAGTAATTATTGAGTAAGGGCTTCAGGATTTGCTTGTTAGGACAGACACACAAACAAGCTACCGCAAGGTAAGCAAGGACAGGGATTTACAGTGAATTGCCTGTTCTCTAGTAATTGCCTGGATACATGCTTTTGTGTGTCCCCTTCCCCCTCCCCCTCAGCTTAGCCCACAGTGAAAGAGGAGAAATGACCACAGGTTTGCTTTTGTTTACTATCGAGTAGCAATGTGCTCATGAGCAATTTTCACGCAGTAGCTGATGCACAGTAAATCCCTGCCTTTTCTTACTTCATGGAACCTGATTATGTACCCATGCCCATAGTGTAAAAACTTGTGTGGGGTTGTACATGAAAAGCAAGGGCTTTTTGGTGAGATCTTTTATTCCTGATATGACTAAGAGTATAAAGTGTATAAAAAGATGGACTTACCTCAGATCATGGAGTTCTGACCCGGAGCCAGTGATAAGCATAAACTCCCCTGGATATAGCTGAGAGACTGTTAACTCAGCATAAACTTTGCCTGTTGGTGTTAGCATGTGACTTATATTTGTGGTTCCCACCTACATAATAGAATTTATAATTATTTCAAGTGCAAAATATACTTTAATGCTTGAGCCTGTTGATACTTTATAGCGGCCCTCTTTTATGAATGAGTTTGTTTTATGCATTCTCCCGCTAAAGTTCTGTATCTCTGTGCTTGAATCAATATTTTTGGCGTGGATATGCTTTTATGGACAAAAACATTAGCACCTAAGTTGGGCCCACATGTGAAAGAACAGGGGGTATCCATGCCCATCTTTTATATGTTCATTTTTGTAGGTACAATTTATCTCCCATGTTTCAGTCTGCTCTCCCAAGAATGATCAGTCACTCAGCCAGATTTCAGATAATGAATGGCAGATGTAAAAATATTAATGAAGTTAATGTTCTTTTGGAGAACAGTCATTTTGTTAGTTATATAACATTAATAGTGTTTGCAAAATATTACAAATTATGTAGTTAAATATTCAAGGTCTGATTCCAGTTCTACTCTGTCACAACCCAGTAATTTTGGTGCCTCGGCATGATGGAATTTTCTTGCCACATGAGAGCCTCTTGCACAGTGAAGGTTTTTGCTGCGCAGAAGAACCTCGGTGCAAGAGACTTCCCGCCAATTTGCAGGATGCATTTCTTCCTTGCAGCACAGAAATGCACAGTGCAAAGAGTTCCCGCTATTCGAATGCAAATTTGTGTCCCGCTATTGGCCAGTTCTAAATTATTCACACGTGGCGGCTAGTAATTGGCTAGCTAGCCGTTTAAAATTCCGTGCGACTTCCGCCCAAGTCGAAGAACTTGAAGAACTTTAAGCACGCTGCAGAGTGCCTCTAAAGAGATCTGACTTGCGGCTAGCTGATCGATAGACTGATCACCTATCGATCTTTCTTCCCGTCGCCGAGCGCAATCCCAGACGTACCCTTTTCCCGCCAGCTTGATTTGTGAACGGATTAACTGGCCTGGGCCTCGCCAGCTGAAACAACCCACGTGGTTGTTCAGACGACCGGACCATCTGCGTCGCAACTACTGGCGGCGTAAGTAAACGTTTTTGCAATTATTAAACCTTGTCTGTCTCTCCATTCACCAGCCCGCCCTGACGAACGAGTAATTTCTAAATCACCTCGAGTCGGCTCTGGCCGTCCGAGACATGGCGACGAGGGTGGGATCTAAGGACACGGTGATGGAGATGAACCTGATCGGGTGCTGCCCCTGGCACACCGGGACCCGCCGCGTAGAGAATGCAAACGATCTATGGGCGCATATCGCTTACCACCAGGCGGTAGAAGGGGATGAAAGAAATATTGATGGCTACTTCTCCGTAAAGAGAGAAGAAGCAGTAGTGAAAGAATGGAGAACTAAGCTATCCCTCGGGGAGTTCGGATGCATAATGGGGAGCGACCAATCTGAATCCCTTTTAAAAGCAAACAGTCCACTGCTTTTTTTTCTTTTTTTTTCCTGAACACTTTCTCGGTTAATAAATATTTGGTAAGCAATGTTTATTAGGTGGGAAATAGGCATACCTGCTGTTCCTTTTGTCTTTTGTAATTTTTTTTTAATGTCCGGTGCACTCTGATCTATAAAAAATCATATTTATCACGCGAGCGTTTGATGTATCTTCCGGGTCCTCACGAGTATATTGTCTGAAAGTAGTGTAAATTTTTTCCAAGAAAGCACTCAGGGTTTTATTTGTCTCCTGTCGGACCTCATATATCTCACTAAAACTCTGAGGTTTTTTTATAGCATCTCTCAATCCTCGGGGGATATATTCTCGATAGGCGCGGATAGAGATCATATCTTGGTCTGGTTTTTAATCTGGCCCCTGGGTGGGAACATGATTGTCCCTATTTTTTTGCAAATTTTTTGCGGTAATTTTCTTTTCTACATACTCACGGGCTTTGTCTTTTATCATTCTCCTCTCCTCTGATGTCAACAGGATATCTAAAAGAGACTGAACATCTGCCCAGGTTGGGTTATGGGTTTTGAAAATTGTTTTAAACAGGTTTTGTATCTTTTCAGGATCTTTTTTTAAGCTGGGGGTATTGTTTTATCAATTATACAAATCTGATGTAGTGAAAGGAATGTGCTCAAAGATTTGACGGTAGGTTGGCTCCCCGTCATCTCCGAGAGGCCCAGGTACCACTTGTTCTCTTAGGGGAAATACCTTATTTCCCTTTTTATGGCCAGGATCAGATTCCCTGCGATGTTTTCCCTTAACCCCGGAGTCTGCTCTTAACTGTACTCTCCACCCACCTCCTGGGGTTATATCAGGAGAAATCGGGGAATCTGGAGATTGCCAAGCACCTGACGGCCAGGGTTGGTGCTGTTTTAGATTTTTAGGTCGGGGAGTGTTTTTAATCTCCGCCTCAGGGGTGGAAGAAGCAGGAAGAGCAGATGCCAGCGAGGAATCAGATGAATCAGGAGAAGGAGGGGGAAGAGGAAGAGAATACAGTAAAGGCAACAGAGGGGGAAGAGCCTCCGGCTCCGGACAGTCCAGGTCAGGATTTGCAGTTGGTCAAGTCACAGCCATCTCACAGACCCCAACCCCCTCCCCCAATCCACATTCCTCCAAAACCTTTCTATTTTTATAAAGAGACATAAACGCTTATGCATATAACAATTCCTCCCATTTACTATTTTGCCGGCAGAACAAAATCAATTGTAAGATGGTATTATAATTAACACTTTTCTCCGGAGGCCAATGTTCTTGATCATCTAGCTGATAGCGTGGCCACTCAGTTTTATAGAAGAATTTAGCTTTCTTCTTAGTCATAGGATCTCCACCAAACTCTGCCCAATGTCCCAATGCACAAGAGAGGGGGGTACATTTCCTAACCTTACTGTTAATAGTACCCATCTCAGGGCTGCCTTCCCGGTCCTGACCGTCCGACTTACCTGGGATCCAGGGATCTGTTCTTAGTCCTCGTCCTCACAGGGGAAAAATCACTGGTCTTGGACTCGGGCCAGACAGAATACTTACAGAGATAATCCCAGGCAGGCGTGCTGACGGTAGGCCTTATGCCCTTTCTACCCTCTCACCCAGGTGCCTGTTACTGATACTTTCACTCTATGACTTTGCACCGTTAGCCTACTGCCGCCTCAGCAATCCAGCTCCCCCTGAAACAAAAGTCTCACCGGGAAAAGAGATCCCGGGGCGCGCCTGACATTTGATAAGGAAGAGCTGTGTCTGGTCGTCAGCTAGTCCGGGCAAAGTTATCTAAGGCAGTCCCATCTGGGTCGCCAAAAACTGTTGAGCCCCAGCTCAAGTCTGGGATCGTGCCCGGTATGCAAAAGCCAATAAAGATACCAGGGGTGAAAGTATAAAGATTTATTGCTAGCAATACAAGGTGCAAGCGGAATAATTTCACGTAACAAGCACACAGATTCTTAATTCTAAGCATCTTTTATACAGGAGTATTGGACCTTCATAAGCATTCTTGTTTGCTAATTGGTTATAAGGGAGTGACGCAAGGAGTTCTTTACTGAGCATGTCTCTATACCTGTGTTTTAGCTATGTATCTCATTTCCATACATGTATGTTTCATTAGCATACTTTCTCCCCACCTAGGGGTGTGAATCTTAATATTTAAATCAGCTCTTTGCCCTACTCCACTAATTCTGTTTTTGTTTTCAAGTCTCCTTTATCTAAGACTGTCTTCTCCTTATCATTGCAATTGAGCATTAGTTACAGAACAGAGACTTTTGCTTGGGCTATGTGTAGTGGTTTCTAGGTCAAACCTAACATTTTCCCCCTCTGGAGCATTTTTAATTATTTTTATTATAATTGCTCCACTCAATTTGTTTCAACACAAACCTAGTATTCTCAGCTTTCTTCGTTTGTAAAATCATTTGATTCACCTTAGGTCTGAAGATAGATAAGACGACAGGTGAACATTGTATACATAGGATATTTGATTGGTCTTGTTACAAAGGATTCTTCTACCTTGGTTCAATTTGAAGCAATTATTAGTACAATTAACTATTAGGAAACATTCAGAAGCATTAGCTGTTGCCTGAACCCGTACGGAAAACATGTCTCTATTCTTCTCTTTTACAATAGTCCCCCACTTATATATATTCTGATATGTACTTTTCTTCTCTACATTCTTCAGCATAGTATAATTTTGTAAAATTTTTAAAGGGGTTGGTACTGCGATTAAGCATGAGGTAAAAACCAGGTGAGCATTGATCCCTCCCGCTAAGCAGAAGTCCGTTCTATTTAAAATTTCCCGGGCCAGATAAATCCAGACATTTTCCTGAGGGTCAAATTTTTGTTGTAAAAGGGTTTCCCCTCCTATAAGTAGGAGTGGACAGATCAGGGTGCCCCACAATAAAACCTTGAACAATTTCATAATAAGGCTTATAAAACTTAATCAAAGATTGTCAAATTATTCAAAGTTCCTTTCTTTTGAATAGGAATTTCAAGTCTCTTATTGGCTCCACCTTCCACTGTTCTCTGTCTCCGGTCCCGGAGTCTGCAGGGATTCCTTCTTGTTCTGGTCCAGCCACCGGCTTTAGGCGACTGGAATGTATCCAAGTCTTGATTCCTTCGAGCTTTGCGGCCGTCGGGGTCGTTAGAAGTACCCTATATGGGCCTTTCCATCTGGCTCGAAGTGGTTCCTCGTTCCAATCTTTCACAAGGACGTAACTCCCAGGTAATAATCGATTTCCCAGGGCAGGATACTGGTCCTGTGTCTGCAGCACGTCCCGTACCTGCTGATGGATGGAAGACAAAACAGAAACCAAGGACCATACATATTCTCTAATCATTCCCTCTCCTAAAACATGTAACTGTTGTTCAGTACCCATGGGCAGACTCAGAGGGTAAGGCTTACCATACATTATTTCAAACGGGCTTAATCCCAATTTAGAATGTGGTGCGACCCTTACTCGTAACAGGGCCAAGGGTAGGGCCTCTGGCCATTTGAGTCGAGCTTCTTGGCAAATCTTTGCAAGGTGTCTTTTTAAGGTCTGATTCATACGTTCCACCTTTCCACTGGACTGAGGTCTCCAAGGGGTGTGTAAATGC